AGCTGGGTGACTCACACATCCTCTCCTAGCAGTGGGGCCAGGAGAGGAGACACGTTCCAAATGGAACGGAGAGGACATGGCTTGGCAAGCTTTCGAGATATGTATGGAGTAAAATGTGGACTCTATCACCTCTGATTCAATAGCTCGGTCCTTGGTGACATCCCACAAAGCCTATTGTGACCTTTGTCCAAGATAAAGCTCACATCACATAAAACCCTGGCTCTTAAAGTATGCAGTTTTGTTGCTTTTTGTACATTCCCCAAGTGGATCTAATGCTCCCTGAGGTTTGCTGCTGACTAACCCATGGCAAGTTCATGCCCAGGACAAATGAGTCTCTGAAAGTGCAGCAAACTCTTGAGAGGTGATTTGGTGCAGTGTGACTTGACATTGTCATCACTGACAGTGGGTAGCACTGGGAAGAGAAATGCCCTGTGTGGGCCTGGAAGAGGGCACGCTTTTATATTTTACTCCATGTAAATACTGACAGCGTGAACTTTTTGCATATAAGAATTCATGTCATTACTTTTGGGACAAAAACATAGAGACCACGAGAGAAATCACTGTGATAATTGAAGGCATCTATGACAAATAGGGAAGTGAACGTGTTTCATTCCTGGCTACGCATCCCCATCACTATGGGATTTAGGGCAAGTCCTTCAATAGCTCGGTCCTTGGTGACATCCCACAAAGCCTATTGTGAACTTTGTCCAAGATAAAACTCACATCACATAAAACCCTGGCTCTTAAAGTATGCAGTTTTGTTGCTTTTTATACATTCCCCAAGTGGATCTTATGCTCCCTGAGGTTTGCTGCTGACTAACCCAAGGCAAGTTCATGCCCAGGACAAATGAGTCTCTGAAAGTGCAGCAAACTCTTGAGAGGTGGTTTGGTGCAGTGTGACTTGACATTGTCATCACTGACAGTGGGTAGCACTGGGAAGAGAAATGCCCTGTGTGGGCCTGGAAGAGGGCAGGCTTTTATATTTTACTCCATATAAATACTGACAGCGTGAACTTTTTGCATATAAGAATTCATGTCATTACTTTTGGGACAAAAACATAGAGACCACGAAAGAAATCACTGTGATAATTGAAGGCATCTATGACAAATAGGGAAGTGAACGTGTTTCATTCCTGGCTACGCATCCCCATCACTATGGGATTTATGGCAAGTCTATTTCCTTTTTGGGTGTCAGTTTCCATTTCCTTTTTGGGTGTCAGTTTCCCCTTCTTTATAATAAAGAAAATTTCCGCTTCTTTCCTACTCTGAAGGCCAGGACTCTGTGACCCTAAGGATGTCATCATGTGTCCCAAGTATACCTTGTGCCTTTTCTGTCCCTAATTCATCTTACCCTCCACATTCCCAGGAGTTCAAATGGTCCCTGTGGAGCGGATGGAGTAGGGAGAGCAGGGAAAGGCTGTGTAGATGACTTTAGCAGTGAGTTTAAGACTTTATTTATTTATTTACTATACGAAGTTAAGGTGCACATCATGAAATTTTGATATACATACACATAGTAAAGGGGCGCAAGCACCAAGGTTGTCACTACAAGGGGATGTGAGGACAAAAGGCCTTCTAAGCATGTGATATAAAGGATGGAGGATGGGAGAAGCACACGAGTTGGCCTTGTAGGGGCAGAGGCAGTTCATCTCTTGCCACCAGGCCAGATAACAGAAAAGGGACACAGACACAGACAGTGAGTAGGTTTAGCGAGTAGGTTTGATGGTGGGAGGATGACGTGATTCTCAGCCAGTTGCACGTGTTTTCTCAGTGAACTATGGGGCAAAGTCATCAGCAGTGATGTTGGCAGTTTTAGTACAGAAGAAGGGGTGAAAGAGTACTTTTAGAGAGAGGGATGAGGAGTATAATACCAGGGAATTGGCCACCAAATTTCAGCCAGCCAGCGCTAGGGAGAGATGGCCCACGACAACATTCAGATCTTCAAGCACAGCTGGGAAGCAGGCTGGCCCTGTGGGGTTCAGAGAGGCATGGGGCACTGGAGGGAGAGAGAGGCAAACGAACTAAAGGGGTAGGTAAAAGAGTGTTTATAGGGCTGGATGGTGCATCTAACTGGATAAACAAGGAAAGAAGGGCATGGCGTGTGTATGGGGGAGCAGGTGCATGCGTGGGTGTATGGTCAATGGATTCATGGACCCTTTGGGTAACTGGAGAGTCTTAAAAGCTTTTTCCCCTGTGTCACTAAATAAGCAGAAATTCCAGGAGCTCAGGAATGCTCCACTAGGTATGTGACCTTGGATGCTAATGTTGGAACACCACAGACATTTCTGCTGCATTTCCAACTGGGTTCTCTCCACACACTTTGGTACACTATAGTTATTTTTATAAGTAGGCATCCCTCAGGATCTTGGGGGATTGGTTCCAGGACACTTCCCACCCCCACCCCACCCCACCCCCATAACAAAATCCACTGATTCTCAAGTCCTTTCCATAAATATCATAGTATTTGCATGTAACCTATGCACATTGTAAATGCTTTGGGGAATGAGTTAAGGAATAAAACCTACAAAAAAACCACGAACATATCTATGGGTAGCATTTGATCCCCAACCCAAGACCAAAACAGAAATGAAAAGCTAGACAGTGATCCTTGAGATCCAGGACCAGAGGCCCCATGCCATGGGAGCCCAACCCCTCCCCCAGCACGAGGAGCCAATACATTACAAATAAATGGTCTTTTTATTGTGTGTCCACGAAAACTCTTTTTATTGTGTGTCCATGAAAACAAAGTCAGGGTGGACTTTGGCCAACAAGGTGTCAATGAACAAGAGGCATGCATGACAACAAGCGTATTCTCCTTGAGAGTCAGTTCTTTCCCTTCCAGGCCTAAGGGTCACAGGCAACCAGGGCCAGGAGGCTCCAGAGGAACGCAAGCCCAGGACCACCATACACTGGAGGGCCTGAGTCTGCTGCCTCCCTGGCAGGACAAGGCAGGGAGAAGAAACACTACCTCGGGCTAGGCCCAGCCTCCAGAAGCTAGAACATGCAGAAAACCCCCACCCCCACCCCCCATCAAACACTGCTGAAAAGTCATCCAGGACTTCTGAGAAGAGCTGGCTCTGAAGCAAATATCCCTCAGGGCTCCATCCAGAAGGGTTTGCCATCTCCACGCTCCTAGTAGTAGTAAACAAAGAGCAGCAAGGCAACTAAGAGCAGGAAAAGCAGCAGCTGGCCCCAGAGTGGGATCCTAAGGGACTGCTTTCCTGGCTGGATGGTGTATCGGGTGAGACATGAAGGGCACGGACTTGAAGATGAAGATAAAGTAGAGGAGGATGAAGATGTAGGATAATAGGACAGGTCCTGGGAGCTTTTGGAGATGCTGGAAATGAGGCGGTAGTGTGCGACGCTCTGGTAGGAACTACGCAAGCCTTACATGGGGTGTTCCCTGAGGTAAAAGAGGGGAGCAACTGGGCCAGGAGAGCGTGGTCCAGAACCATCCCTGTCTCTGGGCCTCTCCACTACTCAACTATCCTTGCTGTCCTTTTTGGAAGAAGAAAAAAGACTGTCATCTCGAATCTGAAGAAGCAAATCAGGGTGAGGGAACTGG